ATATTTTCCAGTGAAAATATGAAACCAGATAACACAGTTCAGGTAACCATAATTCATAAACCAATAAATTCCATTATTTCATAAATCATGTACAATTCATACTTTTCGATGAAAACCGTAATTGGAGATCACATACCATGTTGCCATGATTCATAAACCAGTAAATCAATACTTTCGTTAAAACTCATTTGAAACATATAAAACTGTCATGTAGTACATGTGGAACACACTAGAGGATCAAAATATTTATCAGATATTCTTCAGAGATATTGGGTAATCTTATTGGGTAGAGAAACAAAGATCTTCAGTTTATCGATAGAATGTCAGAATTTAGAATCACTATAGGAATAGTTCAATAACTAACGGAATCATTAGTTATTCAGAATATAACTTGAGCTGATAAGGAATAAATGAAGATTCAGGACATTTACAGTCGGCGTCGATTTATCGGATTATTGAGATAACTCAAGTTTAACAACTCCCAAAACTAATGCATGTTGACCGGTCCATTCGTTGTCCTACAAGGTATTCACTCTTTAATACCAACAATTATTGTCCATAAATCAACTTTTGAGTCATCACTAAACATATCTTAAGGAGACGAACAAATATTCTAATGTTCTTTATTTTATTTTCAAGCTTCCACGATACCATGAAATCTGACGTACTTGATTTGTGGTTCATAATCCATAGGGATGATACATCATGTAAGTTCATCCGAGGCTTATCCTAATCACTTACTTAATCCACAATCATTGAGGTTACTTAGTTCATTTAACATTCAAGTCCATTCCAGTTACTTTAGGATTTTCCAGAGTAATTCAAATATTCCTGAATTTCAGATACGTATTGTACTTCCGTTCCATTCAATTTGGTCTTCGTGGTTGATTTGTCGAACAAACGTCCAATTCTTAGTACTGAATGCGATCTTGAGTTGAGCTGAATACTTCCAAAATTATCATCAAGCCACACTTGAGAAGACGAACAAACATTCAAGTAATATCTATGTCGTACAGGTACTGACATATCATTACGATTGATCAACTCACTTAAGCTGTGTTCCATAACTTTTAAAGGTAATCCAACATTTATGCTTATTTTGATTCCTTAATTAATCCAAGACATTTACTTAGTATAGGCCATAAGGGTATTTTGGTCATGTTGGTGTTTATTTTTATTCCATTCATTTCAGAGCTCGAGGATATCCACTCATTCCTGAGCTTGGTGATATTCTTGGTCATTTCTATACCATGGGTATTTTGGTCATTTCACAGATCCATTGTATTACAATTATTTCCTTCAATCCGATCTTATTATTAAATTCAAACTTATCATTTACTTCAGTCCTTTCAAACAATTATGACAAAAAAGCACCATTGATAAATCATTCTTCAGGTATTTACTTATAACTAAGATATTTCGGGTCAAGTGCCTTCTCAGATTTTACAAACGGAATATCAGGAATTTTCCTGCACTAAGTCAGGATCTTAACAATCAAATCCGTACTTAATCGAGTTAAGTACGAATTCTCAAAGTATTTTCTCATTCAAGGTCAACTCAGACTATTTTACCTCTCAAAGGCATTTTTTTTGTAATTTCTTAACTAGATAATTTCGGTATTAGCTCTTAACGAAAATAATTATAATTTAAAGATCATATAGTCAATTGCTTTCCCGAACATTCTCTGATCTTGAAATTATTCCTTATCAAACTTCTAGCAACTTGCGCAAACCCTTTTTGGCGTTAAAAACCAGTTATCCAAATTTTCTAAACAAAACCATTATTTCTTATGCACATCTGTAATTATATCGGATCAATATGTCTTTTCAGAGTTATTAACCAACTTCCAGAGACAATTCTTGTCATCCTACAACATAACGGTACTTTCGTAATTTTACCCTACCGGAGTATTCTCATAATTTCCCATCCAAGTGCCTTTAACATTTAACCTTTGTTGATATAAAATATAAGTTACAAATCCAGGGTTGATTTCTTTATCACTAATCACAAACTTGTAATTTAATTCTAACAATTCCTCAATATCTTATATTAGTCATTCGATCCGTATTCAGTTACAAAATTTCTACTACATTCATATCGAGTGTATAAATTTTTCAACTCCACAAAAGTGACAAACATTATCTTATTCATGCATTTACCAATATCAACATGTTCCATAAAGCATAAAGAGGTAGTAAAGTATTACCTCGATTCCCGTGCCATACTGATCGACCATATAAATTTCATTCGAACACCTTTTATCTTTAATTCAACTTCCAATATTTCCTCAGATTCATATCAACATAAATTACATAAAAACGGAGCTTAATTTCGAAAAACGTATCGAATCGGATGATAAATCAGTGAAAAACAGCTTATCGGGTTCGAATTTGGCGAAATGGACTTTGGATTCAAGACGTCGAAAACACAAAATATGACTTTTCAAAAATTTGGAATTTTCAGTCAAAGTCAACGGGTTTGATTGGCAATTTTGAGGCCTTCGGGTCCGAATTTCGAAAAACGGACTGCGAAATCAGACTTGGAATGTTGAAAATTGTCAGGATAGGTATACTCGGTCAAAGTCAAAGGTCGTTTAATGCCCGGTCAACACTGGTCAAAGTTTTGGTCAACTGTGATCAATGCCAGTCGACTGTTTTACACAAATACCACCCTAACAGAAATTAATTACAAAATTAGCCACATTCTGCAAATATTTACGAAACTAACACCCGAAATTTAGACAAATAGCACCCAAACAGAAATTAATTACAACCAGACGATGCCTACTCTCGGGGGGTGGCGCGTGAACACTGCTACGGTGTCGGAAAATTCCCTGAAAAATTCCTAAAAATTATTTTAAGGCATTTTAAGACACTTACCGAGCTCAGTTCAAAATTTTGAACGGCGGAGAGCTCGATTCCGAAACGTCAGAAACTTTGACCGCTTCACCTCCTCACGCGCCGCCGTCGACAGAGACAAGGAGAACATCGGCAGACTCGGAATGGCACAAGGAACACGATGGTGCGGGAGATGTTGAAAACGGATGGTCGGATCGTCGTGAATCAAAGAAAAACCAACGAAAATCAAGTTAAAACAATGATACTTCCGACTGAAATTAACAACGAACGACGATGATTCACGACGAAAGGCTTGAGGGTTTTTGTTCATCGATCGACAACGAACACGATGGTGGTTTCAGTTCGTCGATCGGAGGTCGGACGACGAGTAGATCGGAGTTGGAAGTGGGTTGACCGGGATAAGAATTATGAGCTTTTTTTCTGTATAATACACGGGAAATGGGTGTTATAATTCATCCCAAAAGAAAAATCGTCAAATCATGAGTTTAGTCACTAAATTTCTTGCACTTTATAAAATGGTCTGTCAACTTTGAAAATTTTCAATTTAATCCTCAATTTCTTCACCAAAATACCAATTAAATCCATTACTTTATAATTTCTAAAATTTAGCCTCTAAATTGGGGTGTTACACAGTCTGCAGTCAATTTCTTAACTAAAAATGACGATTTTGGAACATAATTAATAGTCAAATGACCATTTTGTAACTTCTAATAGTATATGCACTCAACAAAGTAACTCCCTATAGTTGGGGAACCATTTTGTAACTTCTAATAGTTGAATGACTCAATAAAATAATATCTTATAGTCGAGGGACCATTTGTGTACTTTACCTTTTTTTTAATAAAAGTAAATGATGATGCTTAGAAACTCTAGCTTGATAAATGTGAAAATTATTGTAAATGAATTTGGACTTTGTAAAATTGATCAGAAATGTCCATTAAGGGGGATTTTAGAGTTGTACAAGTCTTGGGATCAATCCCAAATCCATCCAATAATTAAATGTTATTCTAAAAATGGGTGAAGTCTCTTCTCAACTCTTTCTATGATTTAGGGTTAAAGTTTTAAACCATAATAATGAGATTAAAAATGAAGTTTTTTGGGTCCCCCCATAATATTCATGATTGATGTGCATTTATGTAAGTTTATGAATATATAAAATTTATACAATTCATCAAGTGAAATAAGTGATAAAAAGGGTATATTATTTTCTTTAAAGATTTTAGATTCGAGTAACTGTGTTTATAAAATTAAGATATGTGTACGTTGTCAATAACTAAAAAAGATTTTGAACATATATTACATTATAATTACGTCAGATCATTAAAAAAAAGAGCCTTATGTATTATAATAATGTTTTCTATTAATTCAGTTGAATTCATAATTTTAATTTTTTTTGTAATAATAACGGTATCAATTTAAACATTGAAGAGTTAAAAATGTCAAAAATCTTTATCTTTTTACAAAAAAATAATTAAACTTTTACTTTTTATATTCAATTAAATTATTATAGAGTGAAATTTCATTCATTCTTACTAGAAGTTGACCATTAAATTTAATAAATTTATACATCGATTGGTGTCACATGTCACGTAAAAGTGTTGTCACATGATACTTTTAAAAATTTATTAGTTTTAAAATAATTTTTACACTTTCTAGAATTCTTTCGAATTTAAAAAAAATCAAATTTCACGTCATAAAATTACATTGTGTTATGTGGTAGTAATATTAAAAAAAATCATCAAAATGGCATAAAGAATTTAATTGATTTAAGTTCTAAACCTAAGAATTTAATTATATATATATATATAAAAGTTTAATTGATCAAAGACACCTTTAAGCCAATATTGAAAACTATGGGGAGAAGAAGTAGAAGACTGAATAAGAAATCCCACCATACATTGTTCTCTTTCTTTAAAAGAAATCTAAATAAGAAATATTTTTTTTTATTATTTGTAAAACAAGTATCATCTCCATCTCATTCAATCCATATAAAAGAAAACAACAATATACCATGAGTAATCCAAATTTGTTTTTCATTTTAAAAAAATATAATTATTAGTATTTCTTTTTTAATTTCTTGCACCTACTTTTTATTTCTTTTTTAATAATCCAATATATATATATATATATATATATGCTACACTGGTGTCCACAGCTGCTAATTTTTCTCTCTGAATTCCTTCTAATCAGGTTGGTGTCTTTCACTTGCATTTTTGTATTAAGATTTTTTTTAGAGTTCAAATGACCCATTATCTTTCAAGTTAATATGAATGTCCGAAACCTGTTGAGTCGTTTCGGTGGTAAAATGAAACGTTTTTTTCTTTAATGCATCTAGATTTGAACAGCTATGTCTATAGATGTGTGTACGTTGTCAATAAACTAAGAAAATACGAATGTCTGTATTAAATCTGGATCCTTGTTTGCTTTCTGTTGATGTAAAGCCAAGGTGCTATGGAAAGTGAAAATCAGATTTTTTTTTAATCTGGGTTTTTGGTCTAGGTGATTTTGTATGTTTGTACCCTGTCTAAATAAGTGATTTAAATTGCAGTTGTGATCATGTTTTAGGTTGTGTTAGGTTTATCTCATTGCAGACATAATAAATATTACTGTGGTCATTGCTATTCCACTATCTAACCACTATTTAAATCCCGGGTCGGAATGAACACAAGAACAATAAATGATAGTCTATGTTTCTTGTCCCCCACATTTGGATATTGCTTTTTTGTCCTTGATTATCTGCAATGTTATTCCCCAGATTTTCTTCTTGTAGGTGTTTGAAGCAAAGCCTGAATGGAGTTTTCCGGGATTTTTATGATTAGCTGTTCTGTAATGCTTCTGTGCTCCCCATTGGCATATGGTCAAGTTTCAAGTCGACCAGCTGCAATGACACCGACTCCGACACCAGCACCGGCACCCGGACCGGCATACGTAAACTTGGCTTACTTACTCTCTGTGGCCGGTCCGTATCGAACTTTCCTTAACTACCTCGAATCGACTAAACTCATTGACACATTCCAAAACCAAGCCAACAACAGCGATCTAGGAATTACGATTTTTGCACCGAAAGATGACGCTTTCAAGGCTCTTAAGAAGCCCTCATTGTCCGATCTAAGTGATGATCAGCTTAAATCAGTGATCCTTTTCCATGCCTTGCCTAAATACTATGCCCTTGCAGACTTCAATGACCTAAGTTCAAAGGGCCCTGTTAGTACACTTGCTGGAGGCCAATACACTCTGGATTTCACCGATGATTCCGGCACCGTCCGCCTAGATTCGGGATGGAGCAAAACAAAAGTTACAAGTGCCGTACACTCGACCGATCCAGTCGCAATCTATCAAGTCAATAAGGTCCTTCTTCCGGAGGCCATTTTCGGCACCAACATACCGCCGACTCCTGCTCCTGCACCGGCTATTGACATTAGTCCAGCTGCAGACACTCCATCGGCAGCAAAATCCAAAGAAAATAGTTCGTCATCGAAGTCCGATTCTTCGAGTTCGTCGGCTTGTAGGATCATGAACTCGGACATTTGGACTCAGATGGTTTCGGCAGTCGTAGGTGGCTGGATGGTTATGTTTTTATGAGATACTACGTTAAACCAAGGTTTAAATATGTTAATTTAATTTTTCTATTTTAAAAATATATTTTTAAATATAAGTGTTAAGGAGGAGGGTCCAGGGTTTTGTATCCTCAGTATTTAGCAAAATGCTAATGCGGATATTTGAAAATGCTCAATTTGAGCCAATAAAATGCTTTCAATATTGAAAATAATAATAATATACAATTTATTATTATTTTTTAAAAAATATTTTTTAAAAAATAAAAAATATTATTAAATAGGAATTAACATGAGTTAGATAAAGTAAGAATTTTAAATCGATCTAAATGTGATCCAAACTTAACCTAAATTTTTAGGTTAAAATCTGTTCGACCCAACCTAAATTAAATAAAAAAATTTCCTCCATTTTCTTAAAGAATAAAGGGATAATAAAAAAATACAAAGAGGGATATTTATAGTAATTGTTTTTGTTTTTATTTATTATTTGATAAAATTAGAGAATTAATTGGAAAAAATAAAGAAAGGTAGTCTAATAGTTATGTTTAAATATACATATAATAATTATATTATTATCCTATATAAGATTAGATTAAATACTTTTTTATAAATCTAAGTTAAACTTAAATTATTGAGTTAATTGTATCACATATCCTTCGATTATGACTCTCATTCTAAATTGGTTCCTAAAATTTTAACATTCTAATTTCATCCCTAAACTATAATTATCATTCTATATTAGTCCTCAAACTTTTGAACATATCAATTTCATCCCAAATTATATATATATACTAATCACATCCATTGTTAATAAAATTGTTAGGGCAAGTTATATTATTTTATGTTTGATAAAAAATAAAATTTAGGTTAAACTATGGTTGAAACTAATTACTTATTTGAATGAAATTAGAAGATTAAAAAGTTTGGGGGACCAATTTAAAATGAGAATTATAGTTTAAGGATGAAGTTGGAATATTTAATAGCTTAAAAATATTTTGAAACGAAGATCATAATTTGAGGAATAATTAACTCTAAATTATTTTATAAAAAATTTGATTATATTCAAAACTCGTCGAATAATATTTTATTCATCTTATTATTGAGATACAATCATAGAAATGAGAATTGAAGAATGAAAGTCAACAAATTAAGGCGTTCCATTCCTAGGGCGCAATGCATGCCCTCCGACACGCTTTACCGAAACAAATGCTGCCTCGATTTTCCAAAAATATTCTTCCTCTTAATTTTCTACCTTATATTATTGTTTTGCATTGGTTTAAATGTATCATTCGCCCCTAAACTATATCATTTTTATCGAGTTGCCCCTTAAAATATTTTCGAGATGTTTTACACCCTTAACTTTAAATTGTTATCCCATTTGACCTAAAATGTTAATTCTGTTAAAAAAAATCTCACTGAACAATCAGAACACTCCACTTCACTATTTATTTTTAATGAGAAATAAAAAATCTGAAGAAAAAATGATAACGTGGCATGTTTTGATTGGTCCACAATTTTTTCAATGGAGTTAACGAAATGTGACAAATGGGTTAACGATTTAAAGTTAAGGGGCAAAATATCTTAAAAAATATTTTAGGAGGTAACTTGATAAAAATTGTTTAGTTTAGGGGCAATGGTGCATTTAAGCATTTAATACATGTGTAATTGTTGCTAACAATTAAAAAAAACTGTTCAATTTGATTTTAAATAATTAATCGATTCTTAAATTTATTTGGTTTTCGAATTTGATTGATAATCAGTTGGTATCTGAACTTAAATAAAAATTATATATATTAATTTAAAAAACCCAATAGATATCACGTGTATTTACAAATAGATACATAATTTGATTTTTTTTTTTGAAGTGAATTTGATTTTTAATACTTACATGATCCTTTGTCTTTTATGATATAGTACATAAATGGTATAAAATAGTCACTTGATTATTCATTATGTTCTAAACTCATCATTTTCTGTTAAAAAATTAACAACAGTTTGAGTTGAACGCTAACATGCTGACTAAGATATGATAAAATTTGATCTCATAGTCTTAAATGACAATCATATCTCAGTCAACATGTTAACGTTCAGCTCAGATGACTGTTAATTTTTTAACAGAAAAAGAACGATTTTTAAATATAATGAATAGTAGGTGACCATTTTGTAATTTTTAATAGTTAATTGACTCAAAAAAATAACTCCCTATAATCGGGGGACTATTTTACAACTCCTAATAGTCGAAGGATTCAACAATCCTATAGTCGGGAAACTATGTATGTACTTTACCCTATCTTTTATTAGACCTATTTGATATTTGAATTTATTAAGCACTCTAACTTAGAAATCATCACGTATATTAATCTGAAAACATAAAAATCTATTGATGTGTTCGTCTCAGACCAATTAATAATGTTACACGTCTTTAAAATGGACCTCTATGATGATATAATATGTCTCGTTCATGTTCTAACAAAATTACAAACTTAATTATATTAAATATAATAGGACTTTGTAATACTTGATCTGGATAAGCAAATCAATAATTTGAAAACCAATGTTTATACCCAAAAATTTTCTATTGGATTATGTTAGACTGCAAATAAAAATTTATCTATTATGTGCTCACCTCAGATGATTTTTTATTATAATTAATTAGTAATATATATATATATATATATATTAACTTTTAAATTTTTTTTGGATCTGTGACTGATGATAGCGGTAAGTAGTTTACCCTTTCTAATTTGAACAAAAAATCGCAATCGATGGTTAGACGATAATTGATCGGTGTTTAGTGGTTGAGTTGCATACAGTCCTCATCGTTTGATTTTCCTCGAGTACAAGAGGAGGAGGAAGATGAAGAGGCTCTCTTTCACTTGCATAACCTGGATGTTTATATATTGATTTTATTTACGTGCTTGTCTTAGGCATGGGATCATAATTGTTATTCGTAGATCGACAACCATTCAATACAACACCATTACCAAAATTGGAACTTCCTCTCACGTTTTTCCTCATCAAGCCTTTGTCCATATTTTTCTTCTCTGTTTCAGAATGTATATTGTCTCGTATTTCCAGTATAAAGCATACCTCCATATGACTTATCTTTCTACAATTTTGACTTGAACAAGATTTGAAAGTGGTGCCCCAAACACTCTGTCCTCCCAAGAATTAAAAAAGATAAAGGACTGTGAATGAGTTGAGTTCGAGTATTATTGAGTTTGATTTGACTCGAAAAGTTTAAAATTGTGTTCGACTTGACTAAAAAAATCGCAGGCTTAATATTGTCAAGTTCGACTCAAACTCGAAATTAAAAATTGAAGCTCGACTAACCTGAAACTCATGAGCTTAAAATTTTCAAGTTCAACTCGAAATAAAAAATTGAAGTTGGACTCGAGCTCAAAACATCCTTAGGTGGTGTTTGGTTCGCTATAATGTTTCTGAGGGAATTGGAATCTGTCAGGAATTGGAATCCAATTCCATATTCTGTTTGGTTGGCAGGAAATTGAATTGGAATCCAATTCCATGTTCTGTTTGGTTCGCAGACATGTCAGATGAATTTGATTTCAATAATGTAAAATGACATGATTGTCCTTCTTGTTTTTTTTTTTGCTTAATTTTAGTTTGTTTTATAAATTACATGTAGCAATATATTAAAAAAATTTAAAAAATATTAAATTTTAATTTTATTGATTGTTTATTCATTTCAATAAATTATAAAAATCATGCTAATAAACATCACAAGTTAAAATCATCCCAATTAGGGATGGCCATGGGTCGGGTTGGGTCGGGTCAGGTTTTTGGTACACCCGACCTGACCCGAGAACAAGAGAACCTCCATCTGAGACCCGACTAAAATAAAGTTTCACCCAACCCTACCCGAATATATGAATTAGAAACCCGACCTGACCCGAAATAATAAAAAAAATATTTTTATTCAATAAAAATAGTGACTTAATTGAAAAAAATTATATATAGAGGGGGTATTATTGTAATTATTACTAAATATATAAGGTAAAATTATATATTTTTTCAGGTCGGGTTAAGTATTTTTCACCCTAAACCCGAACCCGACCCGACTCAAATATCACACTTAAAAAAACTGACCCGACCCGAATATATGAATTAGAAACCCGACCCGACCCGAAATAATAATAAAAAATCATTCAATAAAAACAGTGACTTAATTGAAAAAAAAAATTATATATAGAGGGGTACTATTATAATTATTCCTAAATATATAAGGTAAAATTATATTTTTTTTGGGTCGGGTCGGGTATTTTTCACCTTAAACCCGAACCCGACTCGACCCAACTATCACACTTAAAAAAACCCGACCCGACCCTAATTTTGTTTTAAAAAAATCTGACCTGATTGGGTCGGGTCGGAACCCGTCGAGTCTGAGTTGAGTGGTCATCCCTAATCCCAATCAAAATATGTTAATAAGTTACCAAAAGATTGATGAGGGTAGTATGATCAAATTTCACATTCCCTCCAACAAGGGAATTGAATTCCATCAGAGAATGGATGAAATTCACTTTACCTCATTTAATAGAAAGTTGAAGTAATGAGGGATTATAATTCCCTTTGAAAACTTGAACCAAACATGGGAAAGTGGTGGAATTGGATTCCAATTCCCTCTAATTTCAAGGGATTCATGCGAACCAAACGCCACCTTAGACTTAGCTCGATCGAAGCTCAAACTTGAGCTCGGTTCAAGCTCGAACTCAAGTTCAAACCTGAATTTTAAGTATATGAAATCCTTAAATTGTATTTTAAAAATAACATATAAATATTAATATTATTAATAATTTAATTAAAAATTTAAAAAATTATATATATATATATATTGAGTTGCTCATGAGCTTTTCGAATCAGATTTCAAATAGTTTGTTTCGACTTATTAAAAACTCGAGTTAAGTTCATTCAATTCGAATGTTAACCGAGCTTTAATTGAATCAGATTTAAGGGACTAAAAAATATGTTTCATCTCATTTACAATCGTAAAAAAAATTAACTTACCTATTAGCTCTTCTTATCGGAGTTGGAAGCTGCCCACGAACAACTCTTTACTCATGTCGCCATTGATGCTTTTTATATATATATATATATATTATGTTTTAAAAAAGAATAATATTTTTTTTATATTT